TTTCTCATCCCACTCCCTGATTAACTACACTGGCTAGTACTTTAGAAGAAAGCAAATCAAAGTGGAACAGGTTGCTTATTTGAGAGAATGTATACAGAGTTCTGCCATTAAGTCTGCTACTGACTCTCAGTTTGAGATACAGAAGGACTTATCATGTTAAGAAAGTATCCGATAGTTCTATTTTACTATATTTTTAAAAAAAATTCAGAACAGATGTTAAATTTTATCAAAGGTTTTTTCCCATCTAAGAGGGTATGCTGTTTTTCATTTGTCATAATATGGTAAAATTAATTAATAAATGCTTTAAATATTAATTTAAATTTTTAGACTAAATGTCTTCTCAGTCATAATGCATTACTTTAATAAATGCTAAATTTTTGTTAGGATTTTGCACATACATTCATAAGAAGATTGCTCTATAGCGTTCTTCTGATATGCTATCTTTTCCAGTTCTGGGAATCAGTGCAACAATGCTGGCTTTAATAAACACACACACACACACACTGCTTTCCTCCTTTATAAATTCCCTGGAAGAGTTTAACTATTTGAAGAATTGTGTGTTACTTAGAAGTCACCAAGGTTCTAATCACAATTGACCTATCTAAATCTGATGGTTTTCCTTTTTTTGAGACAAGAAATAGGGTATGGCAGGAGGTGGTGTATAGAAACGTTTTTGAGAATTTTAAACTTTTATAGCTATTGATATTGTAGTTTTCTTTCTCTTCTTTTTTTTTTTTTTCTTTGAGTTGGAGTCTCACTCTGTCGCCCAGACTGGAGTGCAGTGGCCGCTCCCGGCCACCGCAGCCTCAACCTGCTGGGCTCCGGGCGATCCTTCCGCCTCAGCCTTCCAAGTAGCTGGAATTACAGGCATGTGCTACCACGCCCAGCTGATTTTTTTATTTTTTACTTATTGTAAAGATGAGGTCTCGCTGCCCAGGCGGGTCTCGAACCCGCGGGCTCAGGCAATCCACTCACCTCAGCCTCCCAGAGGCGCGGGATTACAGGTTGAGCCACCGAGCCCGGCTTTTCTTTCTCTTCTTAAGTAAGTCTTATGTATTCATATGTTCCAAGAAAATCATCCTTTGAATGCTAGCTTTGAAATATAGTAACGTCAAGTTTTACAAAAATATTTTAATAATATGGTTATTCCCTTTTTTGCATTCCTAATTTGTATATCAGTTCATTTCCTCCTGACTTGATAAGGTTTGCTAATTGTTTATATACATGACTCATTTTTAAAAAAATAAGATTTATCAGTTTTCCTTTTTTTCTTTTTTAGCTCATTAACTTCTCCTTTTATATTTACTGATTCCTTTCACTCTTTATATATGTTCTAATTTCCTTGATTGAATGTTTAATCAAGACAAAAATAAAAAACACAGAAAATCTTCCTCAATTGAAGACACTATGCCAGTATTATCTTATCTTTTCCATCTCGATTAAAAAATACATAAGATGGACTTCAAAGTTTATTACAAAGCTATAGCAACCAAAACAGCATTGCATTGGCATAAACATATTGTCATAAACAGACATAAGGATCAACAGAACAAAATAGCGAACCGATATATAAATTCACACATTTATAAGCAACTCATCTTCAACAAAGGCACCCAGAACTTACAATGGGAAAGGACAGTCTTTTCAATAAATGGTGCTGGGAAAACTGGATGTGGAAGAATAAAACTAGACACTAATATTTCACCATAGACAAAAATCAAATAAAATCATATAAAAATAGATTTCAGACTTTACCCTAAGGCCTAAAACAATAAAACTACTAGAAAAAAACACTGGGGAAACATACCAGGACATTGGTTTAGGCAAAAAGTTCTTGTGTAAAACCTCAAAAGCACAGGCAATCAAAGCAAAAATGGACACCTGGGACTATATCAACCTAAAAGCTTCTGCACAAGAAAGAAAACAATCAACAAAATAAACAGACAATCCACAGAATGGAAGAAAATATTTGCAAACTATCCATCTGACAAGAGATTAATAACCAGAATATGTAAGGAACTCAAACAACTCAATAACAAAAAACAAATAATCCAATTAAAACATAGGTGGGGGGCAAAACAAAGAAACAGGTAAAATATCTGGACATTCCTCAAAAGAAGAAATATAATTAGTCTACAGTTATATGAAAATACGTTCAGTATTTCTAATCATCAGGAAAATGCAAATCAAAACCAGAATGAGGTATCAGCTTACCCCAGTTAGGATGGCCATTATCAAAAAGGAAAAAAAAAAAATGCTGGTGAGGATGCAGAGAAAAGAGAACTCTTATACACTGTTGGTAGGAATGTAAACCAGTACAGCTACCATGAAGAAGAGTATGGAGATTTCACCAAAACTACAAAGAGAACTAGCATATGATTCAGCAATCCCACTACAAAGAAAAAAAATCATTATATTGAAGAGACATCTGCACCCCCGTTAATTGTAGCACTATTCACAATAGCCAAGATATGAAATCAACCTAGGTGTCCAACAATAGATGAATGAATAAAGAAAACACAATATATATACAGAATGGAACATTATTCAGCCATAAAAAATAATGAAATTTGGCATTTGCAGCAACACGGATAGGATGACGAAACCAGGAATTCAGGTTAAAATTTTATCCTCATGTTTGTCCGGTTTCAGAATTTCAGACAAAACTTCCTCATGATATGAATGCCTTGACTTCACACTATTTATGATTCAATTTGAATCATATTGGCCAGCCACGATGGCTCATGCCTGTAATCCTAGAATTTTGGGAGATCGAGGAAGGATTGCTTAAGCCCAGAAATTTGAGACCACCCTAGACAACACAGCGAGACCTCATCTCTACAAAAAAAAATCCAAGAAACTAGTGGACATGGTGGCACGTGCCTGTAGTCCCAGCTACTCAGGAGGCTGAGGCAGAAGGATCACCTGAGCCCAGGAAGTCGAGGTTGTGGTAAGCCATGACTGCGCCACTGCACTCCAGCCTGAGTGACAGAGGGAGACCCCAACTCAAACAAGCAAAAGACAATTTTAATTGCATCAAAGTCAATGAATATGAACCAAATGGATTCATATAGATTATATGATTCCATTCAAATTCAAAAATAAGCAAAACAAATCCATCACATTAGCCCCAAGTTACCTCTTGGGTAGCAGTGGGTATTTACTAGTAAGGAAGGCTTGGAGGTGCTAGAAATGATGAATATTTTGATCTAAGCTGTGGCTATATGATTCTGTAATGTACAAATTCATGGAGCTATACCTTTAAGATTAGTACGCTTGACTGTATATGCGTTATATCTCAATGTTTAAAAAATAATATTTAATGATCTGGAAAAATGTTATATAAATGAAATCATTCAGATTGAAACATAAAAATTTTGTTCAGACAGAGCTGCATCCTGCCTCTTCCCATGGTAACTACCTCCCCCATGAATATTCCATTAAACTAGAGTACATAAATAGGCAAAACTAATCTGCAATGTCAGAAACTGGCCAAATTGTTCCCTTTGGCCTGGGAAGGGGCATGGACTCAAAAAAACAAGACTGTAGCTCTCATGGTGCTACAATGTTGTTTTCTGATCTGAGTGCATTACCCAGGGGTGTTCCCTTTGTGATAATTCATTGGACTGCATATTTATGCATATTTTCCCATATATCTTCCATCTCAATAAAAGTTTTATGCTAAAAATTATTTTTTAATTTTAAAAAAGAAAAAGTATTTGCTCCTAAGTCTGGCACTGAGCACAATGTAGGGGATGAAGGAAACTGGCTTGAAGATAGAGAAAATGCTCAAACTCCTAACCTTGGCTCATGACTTCAGCAGCAAAGCAGCTACCTGTCTTTGATTCTGTGCAATTTAAAACTGAAACTTGACCTGTGTGGCTTCTGAAAGATATTACTGCCTTAGCTTTCAGCTTCCTTTGTTTCTTGGGATGTTATAGGCATTATGCTTCATCTGAAGAGCATAAGGATCAAATATAATAATTTTAAAACAGTTAAAACCTTGTTTCAGTATTATACCTTTTCATTAGGCTAATGGTCAAAATCAAATTTCCATTTTATTTGCAATCTTATCTCAGTAATTTCAACAACTATTAGTTCAACTTAAATTCAGCAAAGAACAGTTTCTTAAAGTAGCTTATTTAAGTTTTATTTTGTGGTGGTTGTGCTTTTTTTTTTTTTCTCACTCTGTCACCCAGACTGGAGTGCAGTGGGCACTTCCAGCCACCGCAACCTCGACCTGCTGGGCTCCGGCGATCCTTCCGCCTCAGCCTTCCAAGGAGCTGGAACTACAGGCGCACACTACCACACCCGGCTGATTTTTGATTTATTGTAGAGATGAGGTCTCGCCAAGTTGCCCAGGCGGGTCTTGAACCCACAGGCTTGGGCAATCCACTCATCTTAGCCTCCCAAAGGCGCGGGATTACAGGCTGAGCCACCGAGCCCAGCTGGTTGTGCTTTTCTTTATTGAACTTTTCCACCAGGACTTTATAAGGAACTGATTCACAGAAATCAAAAGTGCCATGCTTAAAAAATACAGGGAAAGGCAAAAAGATTCTTAGAACATGGTAAATTCCAAATCTAGTTTCTCTTACTTTGATAATTTATTTTTCTATTTTTATTTTATTTTTTGAGTTCAAGTCTCACTCTGTCGCCCAGGCTGGAGTTCAGTGGCACACTCATAGCCACCCCAGTCTAGACCTGCTGGGCTCAGGCAATCCTTCCACCTCAGCCTTGCAAGTAGCTGGAACTACTGGCATGTGCTATCATGCCTAGCTAGTTTTTTATTTATTGTAGAGACAGTTGCCCGGGCTGGTCTCTAATTGCCTGGGCTTAGGCAATCCACTTGTCATGGCCTCCCAAAGTGCTGGGATTACAGACTGAGCCACCAAGCCCAGCCTGATAATTTATTTTAAAGTTGAGCCTAGATAACAGTACTTTCCAAACACTCAGCTTGCTCTTTCAGCAAAATCTTTCACATTATCATTTTAGATACTTACTCAGTAAACACTATGTTTTCTAATCACAGACAAGGTCATATCCATCCTGGCTGCCACAGAGTCAAAATGAATTTCCAGAAACCAGGCGCAATCTATGGATGCTATCACAGATAGGCATGTTATTATTACCTTTGTCAGAAAGAACCTTAAAGGAAACATAAGGAGAAATATACATTAGATTCCTGACAAGAGCAATAGAAGCCAAATCCTTAATAACATGTTATTTTAAAAGTTGAGCACACAACTCTTTAAAATAGCTTTCATTATTTTGGGGAACAATTTTTAAAAAGGCTGCAAAACCAATCTGCATCACACACCAAACTGATTTCAAATAAATCTACATGTTTATTGAAAAAAAAAAAAAGGCAGGGGGAGTTTCATAAAAGTTTTGAGGTAGGCCTTGGCTGAGAGGAACTGGCTGTTAGTCAGTTAGGGAGTGTCACATGGGTGAAATGTGTTCCCATTAAAGGTCACAGCCTTAAATCGTTGATTCTCCCATAATCATTGATATCCCCATATGTCCAAATCCGACCATGAAAGACTTCAAAGTTCAGTAACTACAAAGCTCACTGATGCAATCTGATTGTCAAACAGTGAATTACACAGATCCTAACCATGAGCCCACATTGATCTCTAATGATATCCCAAAGACCGGAGATCAATTCTTGACCCCCACGTTCTCACCTTTGCCCACAACTGGCAGCCCCAGTCACTGACCCTCACTGATCCCTCTATTTTCCACTCCCTCATCTACTAAAGTCCAATCATGAACACTCTCAGATGCTGTATCGATGGTGGCTCAAATCATTTCTTCAAACACAGCACCCCACCGACTCCCTCATCACTGAATCCCAACGTTTCCACAATAACCATTTCCATACCCCAAACTATTATTGCCCGTAGAACTTCGAACTTCCAATCACTGACCCTCTTGGGCTTCCGATCAGTGAGCCCTACTGCTCTTCAAATCAGTGTCTTTGAAGAACCCCACTTGGCCTCAGACCCATGAGGTCCATTATAATTGACCCCCATGCACCCTGGCAACCAAGACATTTCACAAAATTCTCATTTATTGATTCCCACAAACTCCCAATCCACCCTTCTTCACATAGAACCCGCCACTGACTCCCACCAACCTCTGCCCGCTACCACGGAGCCCCCAGGAGGCTCAGACGCCCACTTAACCCTTCACTCCCCTCGTCACAGACCCTTACGGGCACCCTAATTGACCCAGGCGGGCCACCGTAGTCTCCAGGTGATTATCCGGCCCAGGTCCCGAGGTTCCACCGCTTCTCACACCGACCCTTCCTATTTATCCTGGATCTGCTCCCTTAACCCGATATCGATCGCCCTACCACTCCACCGCGGTATGAGCTCTTCCCAGCCCGAGTGGCCAGTGCGCAGACTCAGTCGCGACATTGAGGCTGGCTATCGCCACCTTGCGACCTTCCAGAGAACGGGATTCTGGGTTTTCAGAGCCTTAATGGGAGGTATGATGGCCGCGCCCACTGGGCGACCACTGGGAGCAGCCATGTCTAGAGCAGTGCCGTACAACGGAGGACGAAGCCCTTTACTAGATCAAAGGATCAGGCTCTTTCAGGGCAGGAAGAAGCAAGTGCCCTTGGGTCTCTAGACAAATATCGCAGCTGCTTTTACTCAGCATCTCAGACGCTTGGGCTTCCCGTGAGCAATATGGCGGCGCCCTAAAGTCGAAGCGGAGCCTTTCTTTGTCTCCAGCAGCCCAGGAAGATGGCCGCAGACATTTGACTGCTTCTTAACGTGCGATGGGTGCGGCCTCTCCTAAGAGGAGGTCCCATACGGCAACGTCAAACTTTTTGAAGGTCAGCTCCGGGAGTTAGGGAGCCGCGAAATAACCCGCTTTTCTTTTGGGGAGCCTGGGGCGGCCTGAGGGAGAGGCGGGACTTCACGGAGGGGGCGGAGCTGCGAAGATAGAGCGGGGCCGCAGCCGGTGGGGGGGGGAGGGGAAGAGTACTAAGTTCTTGGGTGGTGATTGAAAGAAAATGTTGGCGGGCGTGGTGGCTCACGCCTGTAATTCCAGCACTTTGGGAGACCCAGCGGGAGGATTGCTTGAGCCCAGGAGTTCAGACCAGCCCGGGCACAATAGCGACCTCGTGTCTGTCTACAAATAAAAATTTTAAAAGGAAATGCAGAAAGCATCTTTATCTGAGGCGGCTGGCTTCAGGAGCTGACTTGAGGCAAGAAAATGAGTGCGGTTTATTTGGCAGGGTTGGAGAAGTGAGACGAGGAGGGATGTAAACAAATACACAGTGCACCAAGGCAGATTACCCTGTGAGTAATTGGAGCTCAGTCTTCTGGGGAGCTCTGGGAGATGGTGCAAAAACCACTTTCAAGTTGTCGCTCTCAATGGCCAATGAATCTGATGTATTTATACACCATCTTCATGTCCTCACTGATTAAAGGCTATTCTAGGCGTGTTAAAGACTCAGCCCTTCCAACGCCTGCCTCATAGTCAGGTGTACAAGAAGGCAGCAGTTTGCATATGGGAATACCCATGACTAATGACCGCGTACAGATAGCATACCTACAGCATTTACTACAGTCCTGCCTAGAAATACAACCTAAACCAGAGTTCTGCACATCACAGACATTGGGACATCTCTAGAAATGGTTGCCTTGTCCTATGAAAATAGCTTTAAAAAATAAATCCTAATTCCAGCTGGTCATCATAGCAACTGGTATAACTGATCCCCTTGAATGGTTCCCAATGATTCCTACCTCCTAGTATTCTCACTCTTATGTAGTCCCTTCCCACATTGTACCTGCATTGGACTGTGAGACTAAACTGAATACAGCAGAAGTGATAACATACAACTGCTGAGATTATAAGACACCTTGACTTTTGTCTTGAAGGCTTCTTTCATCCCCAAATAACTTACTCAGAGAGAAGTTAGTTGCCATGTCATGAGGCCACTGAGACAGCCTATGAAGTGGCCCATGTATTAATAGCAAAAAACAGGCCTCCAGCCAACAGCCAGTGAGGAACTGAGGTTTTCCTACAACCATGTGAGTCTAGAAAAAGATCTTCCAGCCCCAGTCAAACCTTGAGATGACTGCAAGCCCAGCCAATAGTTTGACTGCATCTGCATGAGATAATCAGTCAAAAGCACTCACTATAGTATCTCCCATATTCTTGACCCTCAGAAAGTACACGAGAAACTAAATGTTTGCTGTGTTAAACTGCAGCTGTGTTTGGGATAATTTTCTGTGCATCAATAGATAAATTCGATGCATCATTAAAATTCTATAATTGACATTTCTGAATACTTAAATTCCTAAAATTGTGAGATTGTTCTATCAGATCAGAGGAAAAATTAAAGGCCTGTGACTCTGCTAGATTTTAAAAATTTAACAAAGAGCTTAAGAGTCTTACTTCATTTGAACTAATATAAGTGGTTTATATGACAGTGCTTTGAAATAATTATAGTAATTAATTTAAAACATGGCCAATAGCCGGGCTCAATGGCTCAGCCTGTAATCCTGCGCTTTGGGAGGCTGAGGTGAGTGAATTGCCTGAGCATGCGGGTTCGAGACCTGCCTGGGCAACTTGGCGAGACCTCATCTCTACAATAAGTTTAAAAAATTAGCCGGGCGTGGTAGCGCACGCCTGTAATTCCAGCTACTCGGAAGGCTGTAGTGGAAGGATCGCTGGAGCCCAGCAGGTTGAGGCTGAGGTGGCTGGGAGCGGCCACTGCCCTCCAGTCTGGGCGACAGAGTGAGACTCCAACTAAAAAATAAATAAATAAATAAATAAACAAATAAATAAATAAAAATAATAGAACATGGCCATTTATAGAGTGCCTGTTACATGCCTGGTCAATTATTGGCCTGCTGACTCCAGGAGCTGCTCTCATTCTAGGACTATGCCAGTGAAGCAACCACAATCATAAATTGTCAAAGGCAGAGAGAGCTTTGAAGGGTCTTTTTGTTGGGAAATTAATTGCTCTGAGAGGACTGTAATAAAGTATACCATAGACTTAGGTTAAGAGCATGCTATAACCCAATAAATATGTAATCAGCTTGTGGACAATAACACAGCCATTTTTAGTTTTCTGTCTTAAAACATAACCTGTAACTGTTTAAAGTTTCAGTTATGGAAAAAACTGCAAAGCTCGGGTTACAAGCTTCAGCCCCTTCCCTTATCTCACTTTCCCCTTAGCAACAACCAATCAAGTGCCAGGGGGTAATCACCTAAGTTTCCAGATGTCTCTGCAACTTCCCTAACTAGTGGGCCAAGGTCAGCCCGAGTCAGGCTAGCCAGTCCTCCATGATTAAGCTGACCACCAGAGGTTACTACCCAATTAAATGGTAACACAACTGGAAAGCCCCCCCAAACTCCTCCCCCCTTTGTGTAAAAGCATAAAAGGCATCTGCTTAAGGAAATCAGAGACTCTGAATGTACTCCGCTGTGTCTGTTGTCAACAGAGGCCCAGGCTCGAGCTTGTAAATAAAGACCCTCTTGAACTTTCATCGGAATTGGCTCTTGGTGGTCTCTCGGATTGAACTTTCAGCCACTACAGCTCTACCTCAGAAACTGTCATTTCTGCTTACTATTCATCGGGTGGTCACATGACTACCAAAGCACATAATAGAAGAAATACAATCCTACCATGAGTCTGGAATGGGAAGAGCTGGAAATATTTCAGAATAAATGAAAGACTGCCAAAACCACTGTGAGGATAGTGTCCTCACAACTAGTCAACAGAAAGTGCAGCACAGAGGTAAGATAACCTGTCCTTAATCACTCAGCTAGTAAGTAAAGCAGCAAGGAATTACAGCTGGATATGTCTGTGTTATACAAAAGTAAAGGATCATTATCATGATTATTAAATTTTACTAAAATTGTATTAGAATCTCAATATATCTAAGGCACTGAATTAGGAGGAAAAAGGAGACTGAGGACATTAATAAAAATAGAGGTTACTAGCCGGACTCAGTGTCTCAGCCTGTAATCCCGTGCCTTGGGAGGCTGAGGTGAATGGATTGCCTGAGTGAGACTCCAACTCGAAAAAAAAATAGAGGTTACTCAAGGAACTGGAGAAGTACACATGGAAAGAGGAAAGGAGTGAAGGAAGAGTGTTTATAAAAGAGTACACATTGCAGAACTCCATTTATAAGACACTCAAAACAGGCAAAATAAATCTACTGAGCTACAATTTAGAAAGCAGTTGACTCTAGAGGCTACTGACTCTGAAGAATTTGTGGGGGTGATGAAAATATTTTATGTCTTGTTTTGAGTTGTGTTTTCATGGCTCTAGCTAATTGCCAAGATGCATCAAAGTGAACACTTACACTTTGTGCATTATATGTAAATTATACCTTAATTTTTAATGAAAAAGCAGAGTGTTTGGAGTACTGAGTAATCATGTGGACCGGCGAACAGAGAGGTGAGTAAGAGAAGAAATGCAGGGCTTT